GGTCCTCTTCCCATTTGTTATAAATGAAATCAGTCTTCACATTTGGCTGGCTTTCTATGGAACTATTGGTTGCTAGAATAAAACAGTGTATTCATGCAAAGGAGTCAGATTAACTCTGCCAATGTTATGTCTTTCCATGGAGATTTCTCTTTTGAAGTTTCTTTATACAATGGTAGCTTTCACAGAGTTTTCTTCTGCATGCTTTTCTTAAATTAATATGGTCTGCTATAGTGGCGAATATATGTAGCTCAGATGTAGGATGAAAGTGAAGGTTCATTCTCCAAGCTTGTGGGTTGGTTTCCAAATGTTTCGCTACCAGACTAGATAACATCTTCAGTGGAGTTTAGGGAATGTCAGTGTCAGTGTTCTGTTTAAAAGGGCTTAGATGTAGGTGAGGGGTTTGTGAAAGGTCTTGAGATGAGTCATCTGTGAGCCTTGTGATGGTTCTTGTGATAAGGAGATTATTTCGTTCAGGGTTGTTTGGAGGTGAACTGCTGGTGTGTGTGAATGGGGGGAAAATTGCATGAGTTGGTTGAAGGTTGGTACTGTCTCTGGTTGGCTATGTGGTTGATTTGGATTCTGAGGAGTTCGTAGGCCAGATGTAGGTCAATGTGTCTGTTGATGGAATTGCTTGTGGAATGCCAGGCTTTGGTGAACTCATGAGCATGGTGAGTGGTGGTATGGCTGATGATTTTTGTGTTGCTCTAGTCCAGGGGTCCCCAAACCTGGCAAATTTAAGACTTGTGGACCAACTCCAAGAATTCCTCAGCCAGCTATGTCCACAAGTCTTAAAGTTGCCAAGTTTGGAGAGCTCTGCTCTAGTCGAACTGGTGCTGTTTAATGTCGTTGTGGGTAGAGATTAAGAATTGTGGCATTTGGCTGTCAGCGGATGTTCGTGCATCCTGTTTTTTTAATTTAAGTGATGTTTATCTCATGTAGAATTGGTTGCACTGGTTAAAGTTGATTTTGTAGATGACATTGTTTCTTTCATCAGTCTGTATTTTGTCTTTGGTTCTGGATAATTCCTGGTGGAGTGTAGCTGTGGATTTGTGGGCTGTTGTATACTATTGCTATCCCTTGGAGTTGGGGGATTCTGACTGTCAACACCCCTTTTTTCTATGGTAGGGTTAGTTTTTGCATGGTGTGTTGTGATTTGGGTGCTGAGTGATGGAATATTAATTTTTTTGGATAGCCATTATGGAGAAAGACCTTGAGCAGCCATTTCTCTTCCACTTTTCTTAGTGTTGTGGTGATGCGGTCTGGACACAGCTTCTTTTGTGTGCGGTGGTATGGTTGCTTGCGAAGCTGAGGATGTGGTCTATATGCATGGTTTTGCAGAAGACACAGGTTTCCAGTTCTCTGTTGTCTAGGCTCCTTATGTCGATACCAAGGAATGGGAGTCTGTTGTCTGTTTCTTCTTCATTTGTGAATTTGATCCCAATATGTTATTGAGTGTGTTCGTTCAATTTGAGAGCATTTGATGAAGACAAAGATGTCATCGAAATATCGTATCCAGAATTTTGGCTGGGTGATGGATAGGGCTATTGATTCAATACCATTGTCATCACCAAATGAATATGTTCTTTGATGCTTCCAGAATTTTGAAGTAGGGATATAGGAGATGCTGACTTATTGAAGAATGAAAGTAATTTTAAAAAGGAATGGTGAATTATGTTCTACAAATACTTTGTTAACATGTGACAAACATAAAATTATTTGTTTGTTTAGCGTATGGCATATCATACATGGACTTGCAATATACATTAACATTACATCTAGATTAATAAAACACAATAAAATATAAATTAAAAGATCTAAATTCAAATACCAATATATAGGCCATCTAACCATGAAAATGCAGCATAGTTTATATACGTAAAAAAATCAGATCCTGTACTGGTGTATGCCATCAGCTTGTGGTCAGTGACAGTCACAATGTGATCTATAGTTTGACATGGGACTCCTACAGTCACATTGAGTGGGGGATACTATGCCCCATTTACATTTGCTAGACCAATACTCGAATACTCTAGGTATGGTCTTACTAAGGCTATATAGAGTGGAATTAGTACTTCCCTTGATCTTGATTGTATCCCTCTGTTAGTACAATTTAGGATTGCATTAGCTTTTTTGGCTGCTGCTGCACACTGCTGGCTAATATTTAGCTGGTTGTCCACTAAGACTCCAAGATCCTTCTCACAGTTACTGCTATTGAGCCTGGTTTCAACCAGTCTATATGTGTACTTTTGGTTTTTCTTGCCTAAATGTAGGAGTTTACTTTTCTCTACATTGAATTTCTTTTTGTTAGATATGGCCCAGTGTTCTAGTCTGTCAAGATCCATCTGGATCTTGAGCCGATCTTCTTGGGTGTTAGCTATTCCTGCCAGCTTAGTATCATCTGCAAATTTGGTAAGTTCCCCTTCTATTCCCTCATCTAAGTCGTTAATGAAGATATTGAAGAGTAGTGGGCCTAAGACAGAGCCTTGTGGCATCCCACTGCTTACTTCCCTCCATGTAGAGTTAGACCATTAAGGACTACTCGTTGAGTATGGTTTGTCAGCCAGTTGCGAGTCCATCTAGTGGTGGTGCTATCTGTTCCATTTTTTTCTAGCTTACTAAGAAGTAGGTTGTGGTCTACTTTGTTGAATGCTTTGCTGAAATCTACATATATCACGCTCACAGTATTTTGCTGGTCTACTAATTTAGTCACTGTGTTGAAGAATGAAATAAGATTGGTTTGGCATGATCTGTTTTTAACAAACCAGTGCTGACTGCTAGTTATTACTTTACTTGTTTCTAGATGTTGGCAGATCTGTTTTTTTTTATTATCTTTTCCAGTATCTTCCCGGGTATTGAAGTTAGGCTGATTGGTCTATTGTTTCCTGGGTCTGTTTTTTTTTTTTTCCTTTTTTGAAGATGGGAACCACACCAGCTCTTTTCCAGTCCTCTGGTAGTTCCCTGTTGATCCAGGATTTTTGAAAGATATGGTGCAGTGGTTCTGAGATGACCTCTGCCAGCTCCTTTAAAACTCTGGGTTGTAATCCATCAGGCCCCGGTGATTTTTTTTCATCAAGATCAGACAGGTGTTCTCTTACTATTTTTTTGCTTATTTTAACTTTTATTTTTGGTCTGTCTTTTAGAGCTATGTTTTTGGTAGGTTGAGCTATAGTTTCTTTTTGCGTGAAGACAGATGCAAAGAATGAGTTAAGCAGTTCTGCTTTCTCTCTGTTGCCTGTTACTTCCTTGCCATCTTCTCGCTTTAGTGGACCAACTGTTTCCTTGATTTTTTTTCTTGCTATTTATATGTTGGAAGACACTTTTTTATTATCTTTGACTTTTGTTGCAAGTCTTTGTTCGTTCTGAGCCTTTGCTATCCTGACTTCATCTTTGCAGATTCTGGCTATTAGTTGTATGTCCTTCTTTCCATTTTTTGTACTCGTCCTTTTTTTCTTTCAATTTGCCAGAGAGATCTTTGTGTAGCCATGCTGGTTTCTTCTTGGATTTCTTGTTTTTATTTCTCATTGGTATTGTGCTGGTCTGGGCTTCTATGATCATACTTTTTAGAGTTTCCCAAAATTCTTGAGTTGTTTTCCTCTTTAGGATTTTCATCCATGGAATCTTTCCCAAGTTCTCTCTGAGTTTATTGAAATCAGCTCTTTTAAAATCCAAGACTCTGGTGTCATTATGTTTTGTTGCTTGTGTTTGTGTTATGTTGAATTCTAGCATGACATGGTCACTCTCACCCAAGGTTCCTGCAGTTTCAACTCCCTCTATCACTTCTTCTGTTTGTTAGTCCAGTATGGCTGTCCCTCTAGTTATCCTTTGGACAACAAAGTTGTCAGCTAGGTTGATTAGGAACTTATTTAATTTCTCACTTGGTGCATAATTAGTTTTCTAATTGATAATTGAAGTCTCCCATTACTATTTTTGTGTGTTTCCTGCATATGTTTGTTAATTGGTTGGCAAAAAGGACATCTAATTTTTGTGCTTGATTGGGTGGCCTATAATATACACCTATGGCCATGTCATTCTTTTTTTTTTCTTTTATATTGAAACATATGAATTCTAGGAGGTTTTCATCTTGGGTTTCATGCATTTCTGTAGCAATATAGTGGTCCTTTACATACAGTGCAACTCCACCTCCTCTTTTATGGGGTCTGGTTTTTTTTAACAGTTTGTATCCTTCTACCAGTATGTTCCAGTCATGGGTTTCATACCACCAAGTTTCTGTTATTCTAACTATATCATATTTACCTTCATGTATTCTTAGTTCAAGTTCACCCTGTTTGTTCCCCAGACTTCGTGCATTTGTATATAGGCGCTTGAGATCTTTATGTCTGACACTGTGTTTACTGTCTACAAAACCTGTGTTGTGTCTGCCTGCCCCTACTTTCTTGCCACCTGTTTGATTAGTGCACATGGTATGGCACACTATTAAATGCTTGGTTTTGGTTGGCATCAAGGTTGATAATCTTAAAGTAATCCTTCTTCAACTGTGGTTAAAGTAATCCTTCTTCAACTGTGATATCTGTATGAGATTTTAGTCTGAATATGCTTTCTCTTCTTTGACATCCCCAATGTAAAAGCTACATGTTCTTTATTTGGGTATTTTTACCCATTTATGTTCTCTTTTTGTGTCATTTACCTCAATTGTTAAGTCTGTTAAATAATGATGAGGATCCAGAGAAATGCATAATTAGTTTCTTTGAACAAAGGAAACTTTCATTTGGTTTTCTTGGGCAGTAGCTTTCCATACCATGAGATGCCACTTCTGAACTGCAGAGATTTTCAAAAATTAGTTTATAATATTGTATAAAGATTTATTGTTAAAAGAGTGCCAAAGTAAAAAATCTTGGGCTCTGCTAAAAGTATGTCCTGAATTCCAGTCAACAATCTATTAACAAAACAATTATATGAACTTCTCAATGGAGAAATGAAAAAATAATACTTGTAAGTTTTTTTGGTCCAAACTAAACAAATCTTATTTTTTTAAAAAACAGAATGAAAAATCTCCAGGGCGTTCAACAAGTCGATCAAGTAACATTTCGAAGGTAAGTTGTAAATCATTTTCAGGAACTTTTGTTGCAAAATGCATATTATCTCTGTTAAATTGTAGATACAAATAAATTATGTCGGATATAAATGGGGTGTAGTTCTAACTAACAATGCATTTTATTCTACAGGAATAACAATAACATTTTGTAGAATTGTAGATTTGAAATTGGGCACTATGCTCTCATGTTAGACTCAGCAAGTCAACATGACTGATGCAAAATACTTTCTCATGTATACTTTCTACAGTATACACGAAGAGTTGAATTTCTGAACAGTACTGCTCTAAAAACTGAACAACTTTGATCACCTTTATAATCTGTTCCTCTAGCAAGCCTTTAGAGGTTCTTGTCGCAAGTATATAGTACACAACTGTAACCTAGTAATTTCTCGCTTCAGTAAAGAAACTCAGGACAAATTGTCTAAAATGTTGGACAAACAACTCGATCTCCGTTAAAGTTAGAAAGAAGTTTGGTAGATGCTTTTGTTTATGAAGGCTTCATGGGAACATTGGATCTATGTTAGAAATGACTTGCTCTAAGTGAATTATTTCAGGATTCTGTGCACGATAAATAATTAGATAAAAATGTGCTATGTAATTTTATTTGGATGTGTTCAAAGGCTTGCTGATTCCTTCTATAGCTGTTTTCCCTATGGCTTAGTCTCCATTTTATAAGAACCTACCCACTGTCCCTTTCAAATCAAAACTTTTTTTTCTAATATATGTTTTTATTTCTTTCACTATTGATACATAATATATAGTTATGTAGTTGTATAATTGTAGGGAGAGGGCATTTGAGTCATTATTGTCTCACACTGACTGTGTGGACTAATTTTCTTGACAAGATTTTCAGGTTTGTGCCTCAGTTGATACTAGTTTTTTTTTAAAGTACTCAAGTAGCATTCTGTCTTTTTTGTCCCCCTTTTTCTTCTATTTTATGTTATCCATATCTCCATATTTTGTCAGCATAAATGGAAAAGTTGCAAAATTTATACTGGGGATAAACACTGGGGAAAATGACAAAAACATTGTAATGTAAGACATCATTAATTTAGAGCACATTTATATATAAAATACAAAACCAGGTGTTACAATACATTGTTCATAAGTTTTGTGTTCAATATTCCTTTCAAACATATTTTTATTTTAAATAAGAAGCCTTTCCAGTCAGTCAGTCTCAGGAATCTGAAATGCTTGCTACTTGTTTTGCCATCTGTTGTAACTGATTAATGACCATTTGCTCCCTTGCCTAGAAATTGTTAACTTTGCTCTGTGTGAACAGCTTGTGACATTGTTAATGGGCAATGTATTATACTGATTTTATTACAATAAGACAGTTACAATATTAAAGTTAGGGATATATCCAATTACTTTTCAGTAGTGCAAGACTGACAAGAATATATTGATTGAAATCAGGACTGTTTAGGATTCATTATTTAATTTGGATTTATTCCAGATTGTACCTGTGATTAACTATTTCAAAAGTAAATGTTTCAGATATTAAATTATTCTATAAAGAAAAATGGTGGTATCTGTGATTGAGGAAATTGAGAAATAACTATGAAGAGTCTGGATATGATCATAAGAGAGATTTTGACCATGAGCAGAGGCACTGTTGTGAGGATATCAGGATATGGTATGTACATGTGATACTGTATTGTAGAGAAACAAGTGTGTTTGCTTTTGTTTAGTAGGTTCCTTCTCTGTTGTATATAGTGTTGGGATTGTGGTCTTAAGTGACTTCAATTTGATCGCTTCTAGGACTTGTATGAATAAAAGTTGAGTTCATGTTTTCCATAGCAACCACTGGCTTGTGTCAGGTCATCTTGGCTTCAACACATTTCAGTGTTCATATTTTGGATTTCATTTTTGTCTCAAAGCAATAGTTGATGGAAATGGAGGCAATTTCCACCATCCTTTTGCCATGGTAGAATCAGTGGTGGGACTGATCAATATAGTCTTTCCCCAAAACAACCACCTGGGTTTTCCCAGCTCTCTAGTGAGCAGTTCTATTCAGCATCTTGTAAGTGGCTGATATCAGGGATGAGCCAGGCAAGAGAAATTATTGCTCTCAAGTTCTTTCCAAGGCCCAATTCTTGATGGTGACAAGGTTTACTGAGGCCTTTTGGAAGGTGAAGCACCAGAAACCACCCGTCTAGTGGCTATGTAAGAAACAAATCCAGTCAACCTGGATACATGTCCATATTTAACCTACACATTACCATGGAGTTGAAGTGTTTTTATTTTGGTTTCCTTATTACATCAGAGAATTGTTATCCAGTAGTTGTGAACTCCCTTTTGGGGGAAAATTATTTCTGGATCTGCCACTTCTGCACTGTAATCAGTTTCTGTAGCATTTTGATAATGTCACTTGGATTTCCTGTAGCCTTTTTTCTTGTGTGTGTGTGTTTATGTGTGTGTTTGGCATACCGTTATTTGGGTCTGTTCTGCTTAATTTTTATACCAAGATTGACTTTCGTTTACAGAAAGTATTAAAATTTCATTATTAATAATAGCACAAAACAGAAACTGATGCAGATGCAAGGCAGAAGTTTGAGCTTACTGCTAGTTGTCCAACGAAGCATGAATTCTTTTTACAACAGTGAAAAGGTGTATGTCTCATTTATTAACTACCTACCTCATCCTCAATACCTAGCTGAATAATGTTTTTTAAGAAATGAAAGTGAAGATAGAAATAGCAAAAGATGGGAACAGAGTAGGAAGAAATTAAATAAAAAAGATAGAAGACTTCATTTCTGAAAAGTTATGTATCAAGTTATATTTGTTCATTGTAAACAAGCTTTGGCAAGAATTCAACTGGCTCTGTGGTGTGTTTTTAAAAGCTGTTCATGTCCTTTCATTCTTGATGCCTCTGAATCACATCTCACAGAGTTTTCATAATCATAGCAACAACAAAAGATAGAATGCCATTTAAATTAAGTAAGATGATAAATAAAAATCTTACTGGAATGTATAGTCTTTTGTATCTAAACTATAGACAACTAAGAGTTTATGCATTAGAGGTAAAGCCATTGCTATGAAGGTAATGGTTATAGCTCATATCAGAGCAGAGCTATACAAGAGTCAGAGTTGATGTTCAACTGATGGGTCCTTCAAAGTCTATGAGGTTTCCATGATTCTCCAAACATACTGCCTTTGATGCCAAGCCAATGTTTGTCATTTTGGAAATAGGCTACCATTACTAAATTCAAGAGCAAAAAGACAATTCATTTTATTGAATCTGATATTATCTAAATGTACACAACTCTCAAACCATCTTACTAATATACAAATTGGCTTGTATGATTTAATATAGCTCATTTGAATATTCTTAACAGACTGCCTTATGTATACTGATATTTCTAGCTTGCTAGCTTGCTAGATGATCCTAGATAGATGATAGATAGATAGATAGATAGATAGATAGATAGATAGATGATAGATAGATAGATAGATGATAGATAGATAGATAGATAGATAGATAGATAGATAGATAGATAGATATTCAACTCATATAGTAAATAGCTGTGTACTAGGATACAGGAGATAAGAAGATATATAGTTATAATAATTTCTTGGAGTTCAGTTCAAGAAGAAAATATAACAATTTTGTACAAGTAGAGAAAGAGTTTGAAATAAATAAATAAATAAATAACTTATTTTTTGTTGCTATAAAACATCCCTGAGTAAGCCATAGAACAAATTATGGGGTTGGTGAATACTATATCCCAGGATAACTCTAGTAAATTATTACTGGCAATCACTAGTACCATTTTAAAACAGACATCAATTCGAGGCAAGCAATTGTAAATCTGTTCCCTATATGCTATTCTGGATAATCATTTATTTAATGGAAGCATTGCTCAAAGAAGGATGCATAAACAATTGAACGTCCTGCTATCTCAATGACAATATATAAATCTGCACCATACGTTGGAGCCTTTTAAAGGGCACTAAGTTTGCAAACTTCATTTTCTAATCACTTTCAGAAATTCTCTCTTAACTGTTCTAAACCTACTACTAGAGATCTTCAGAACGACAGTTTTGAAAAGTCTGCATCAAGTGAGTTTATCTTCAACTGCGAACAAAAGAAAAAGGAATTACAGGCTTCAGAATGTAAAGGTTTTTAAACAAACAGCAAAAACCGAAATAAGCTAAGCTAAATAAGTTTTCTCCAGGCTCTCACCTTTCTAGGAAAGTGGTGGTATTGCACCTTTCTGGATTTTTACAGGCAGATTTTAGGACCAAATATGGGACCGACACTCTATTTAACAGCAAGGGGATAGAGATTGTGCCGTCCTTGGTGTCTCAGTGGTTTTCGATACCTTCAACCTTGGTATCCTATTGGGCAGACTTGGGATTGGGCGTCACAGTTTTTCAGTGGTTCACCTTCTTCCTCCAGGGTCAATCCCAATCGGTCTTAATTGGGAGTGAGAAATCCAGCCTATAACCCCTCCTTTGCGATGGGCCACAGGGCTCTACACTCTCTGCTCCTCTTTAACATCTACATGAAACTGCTGGGTGAGATCATCCATCATCTAGATGCACTGAGCACCCTTTCAGTGACAGGGGTGCTCTTGGGTTCTGGATGGGGAACAACAGGCTTCAATTGAACCCTGTAAAGATGGAGTGGCTATGGGTGGGCCCTTTTGTATCCAAGAGTTTTTGATCCTAGGTGGGGTTGCAGTACCCAAAACAGACCTGGTACATCACTTGGGGGGTGGGGTCCTCTTGGATTCACGGCTCCTGCTTGAAGAGTAGGTAGCATTTGCAATCAGGTAGGCTTTAGCCCAACTTTGGGTTGTGTGCACCAGTAATGTCCCTCCACTCAGTCACTCATGCCCTAGTCATATCCTGATTGGTCTAATAAGCTCTGCATGGGACTACCCTTGAAAAGTATCTGGCAGCTTCAAGTGTGTACCTGGTGAGCTACAGTGCAGCGGTTGCCTACCAGTGGGCCACGGCCCACTGGCTGGCCATGAGAAAATTTTGGTGGAC